AGCGCGGGCGCAGGTTTCTTAAAAACCCTTCCTGCGAAACCATTATTGTATTCAGGTAATATACGTGTGTGTGTCTCGGAGGTTGGAGGATGTGAACGGAAGCGGCCCCGACCAGGAACTCGGTTTTGGTTTCGGTTCGTGTCGTGCGAGCGGGCGAGGCGAAGCTGCGCGAGCTCCTGCACTGGTTGAAGCCACATGGAACCCAAATGATCGCCCGCCCCCCCGCCCCCCCCCCGGCCAAGCGCGGCCCCGATGGTTGTCCCGCAAGATGTATTGATGGTTGTCCCGATGGTTGTCCCGATACTTGTCCCGATGGTTGTGCCGATGGTTGTCCCGATGTTTGTCCCCATGTTTGTCCCGATGGTTGTCCCGATGGTTGTCCCGATGGTTGTTTTGATGGTTGTCCCGATGGTTGTCCCGATTGTTGTCCCGATGGTTGTCCCGATGGTTGCCCCGACGGTTGTCCCGATGGTTGTCCCGATGAATGTCCCGATGGTTGTTCCGATTTTTGCCCCGATTGTTGTCCACATGGTTATCCCGATTGTTGTCCTGATGGTTTTCCCGATGGTTGCCCCGATTGTTGTGCCGATGGTTGTCCCGATGGTTGCCCCGATGGTGGTCCCGATGGTTGCCCCGATGGTGGTCCCGATGGTTGCCCCGATGGTTGTCCCGATGGTTGTTTCGGTGGTTGCCCTGGTGGTTGTCCCGGTGGTTGTCCCGATGGTTGTCCCGACGGTTGCGATGGTTGTCGTCCCGATGATTGTCCCGATGGTTGTCCCGATGGTCGTGCCGAAGGTTGTCCCAATGGTTGTCCCGGTGGTTGTCCTTATGGTTGTCCCGGTGGTTGTGCCGATGGTTGTCCCGATGGTTGTCCCGATGGTTGTCCCGATGTTTGTTCCGATGGTTGTCCCTATGGTTGCCCCGATGGTTGTCCCGTTGGCTGTCCCGATGGTTGTCCCGATGGTTGTCCCGATTGTTGTCCCGACGGTTGTCCCGACGGTTGTCCCGATGGTTGTCCCGACGGTTGACCCGATAGGGAGGTCGATCGATTAATATATAGACCAAGAGATAGGTATAGTGATATATATATATATATATATATATAGATAGATATACATTTATATATACACATATATATATATAGATATATAGATCGATATATCGATCTACATATACATGGGTAAAGTGATCGATGTGACGACCTGATGGACATTATATATGGGTGAATAGAGAAACAGGGAAAAGTATATAGGCTAGTGAAATACAAGCATAGGGAAGCAGGTGGTATTTATTTGCCCGCGCATTCTTTGGTGGCGGCAGGTTGGAGTCATCGCACATCGACTGCCTCCACCTTCCCCCCAAACCTCCTTATCACCCGTAGGGTGGTCCTATCGGGATAGATTAACTTGTTTTCGTGACGGTCGATTTTGAAATCTTTACGGAACCTAATCTTTGTTGCTTCCAAACAAAAAAGGATTTTGGCATGCGCGCGCGACGACGCGCGCGTGTACGCTTCGTGCTTGTTTTTGCAGAAGGTTCTTGAACACTGATAATTTGTGATGAGCGAATGTGCGCGCATAGTTTTTGTAGAGGATGCGAGGTGGGTGTGCGAATTCCGGCCTGCTTGGGGTGGTATGAGTTCATGTTTGGGATGGGCGATGGAACAGAAACAAACTTAATGGAAGGACGAGAAAGTGTACCGGGAGGGGGGCAGATTTTTTTTTTAAGAAAGGAGGATCTATGTGGTGCAGTTGTTTTTTTACAAACGAGTTGACAAGTTCCATGCTCTTGCAAACATCCCACACACCCACCCGCAACTTTGGTTTGCAAAACCCACGCGGCGGCGACTGCGATGAATGCTTGGCGTTGGCTGGTACATCCCTGCGGCCGCGCTAGCCCTCGCATGCTCGCGCGCACAGCGGCCAGCAAGTTTGGCGCGACCGACGCGGCCGCGATGGTTGTGACCGCTGGGCACTTCCCAGCGGGCACTTCGGTGCGAGTCGGTGACTTGGGCGGGCGCGGCATCATAGCGACGCCGACAACCTTAGACACGTTTTACGAGAGTAGCGATGGTGGTGACGATGGTGGCGATGACGACGGCAAAGCCAATGACGGTGCCGATGTTGATCATGCCCGCCGATGACGATGACGATGTTCTCGCGTCGGCGATGAAGGTTATTGAAGGAGTTCGACATGCGCGAGCGGCCGATGCGCGCGAGTGGCCCATTTGGTGTTCTTTGACACGGATCGTGCCCCCCGCGCGCACGGGCGGTCAAGTGTGCTCGGCATGCGGCGCGAAAGGCCTGTTTGGCAGCGTGTGATGAGCATATTGGAAGACCGATCGTTTTCTGCAGAATCCGCAAGAGCGCGAGCGCATCATTTACTGAAAACGGATGTTGCAGAACCGTTAAAAATAACACATAACACATACAACAACAATAACAAAACCGTCGGCATTCACTTCGTCCCATTTTTGGGCATGGGGTTCTTGCGACTGCACGCGCGCAGAGGCGTTCGAACGATTTCGACACGCGCGTGCGAGAGGCCAACTAGGAAACATGTTATGCACATGTCGAAGAACCTCTGATTTTGTGAATTTAGAAATAACAGGAACGCCAGCGAAACCATGTGTTTTTATGTGACCGTCGATTTTGAAATCCTGACGGCGCCGGTGGTTTTTGAAGGATTTCGGCATGTGCGCTCGTGTGCACCGTGTTCCGTTTTTCCAAGGGGTTCTTGACAAGTGATGACGTTTGACGAACGGGTGTGCGCGCATTTTTTCTCCAGAAGATAAGGGGGTGCGAACTCTGGCCTGCGTGGGATGGTTGAAATCATATTTCGGATGGGCGATGGGGCAGGATCATATGTAAATTGCAATACGAAAAAAAGGGGCGGTAACATCCGGGGGAGGCGGGTGCGGGGTAGATCCTAATTTTTGGTTTAGAAAGAAGGATCGACGTGTTGCAATCTATGTGGCACGATCTATATGGTGCAATCTCGAGGCGGCGACGGGGCCGCGACGGACAGCACGCGCGCAAGGACAATGTGGTAAAACAAAGAGTTTCTGATATTACAAAAGAGAAATTTACAAAAGCGCGCAGGTTTGTTTTGAACATTGATGTTGCAATACCGTGTGTTTCTATTTGTGCTTGGGACATTCGTTGTGAAATCCTTACGAGAACGGAGTTTTTTGGTTAACAATGTAGCCGCCAGACCGGCACGCAGTCCCAGTTCCGCAGAAAACAAAGAAAACCCAAGTGCAAACATTGTTTGGGGAAAGTACTCATAATATACACATACAGATACATACATGAATGAGAGAGAGAGAGAGAGAGAGAGAGGGAGAGAGAGAGAGAGAGAACGAGAAATATGAATGGAAAGAGAGAGAGAGAGAGAGAGAGAGAGAGGGAGAGAGCGAGAGAGAGAGAGAGAGCGAGAGAGAGAGAGAGAGAGAGACCGAGAGAAAGAGAGAGAGAGAGAGAGAGACAGAGAGCTTGATACCGACGGAGGGAGAGAGAGAGCGAGTGAGTCAGCGTGCGGAAAAGCGAGGCGGACAGGGGACTCGCCAGGCATGTAGCGCACACTCTGTACACCAGAGCTCTCTTAAGTGCACGGTGCGTCCCATACATCGCGCGTGCATCTACGCGCGAAGTGTTTCACTATGCTGCGTGGAGATGTTCCGTGTACTGGCGTGAGTTAGGGGTGTGTTTTGATTATTAGGTATGTTACCACATCATGTTTGACATACCTTGCGTGCAACCTGTCCCAAACGAGTATTGGAGGATGCAGTGGGCTTTTTGGGCGCGCAAGGACGGCGCAAGGCGCAGCGACGCACTATGACGTGAGTCTCATGCGCGGTGTGCAGTCCGCAGTGTATGCGCCGAATTCCACATCGCACCACCTGTTGCCGACGTAGACACCATATCACACACACACATCTCTGCGTGTAATATGCATTGTGTGTGTGCCGTCTCCCTCTATCCTCCCCTCCCCTCTCCTTCCTCCGCCAGCATCCAAGATCATTAGAAGCTGGATCCCGCAGCTGCACCCCAGAGTTTGCGTGCTCGGAAAGTCAGCGACGCAACAGTTCCCCAGAGTGTGCGGGAGCCTGCCGATGTAGTATCGAGCTGAGAGTGGATTTGCCCATGCGGACAAGCCCTGCCACCTAGTATCCCTGTTGAGAGGGATATTTAGTGGCCAGGAACAAGTCGGGCTGAGGGGGGGGGGCCCTGTTGATGTAGTATCGGTCACTTCAGTCGCACGCATGCTTGCTGGTCCTGGGCGAGCAGGCGTCGCTGCGTGCAGCTTCTGTCGGCCCAGGGGACAGCGGAGCCCTGGCCGCGGGGGCCCGTGGCGTGGGAGTTCCGAGCGGGTGGGGGCCAGGCACCTGACCTGCGAGTGGCCGTGGGGATGGAGAGGTGGGAGGAGAGGAGGAACGAGAGGAGAGGAGTGGGGAGGGGCAGGAGGAGGAGGAGGTGGAAGGGGAGGAGGGGGAGCTGGAGGAGTAGGAGGAGAGGAGGGAGGGAGGGAGGGAGGGAGGGAGGGAGGGAGGGAGGGAGGGAGGGATGGAGGGAGGGAGGGAGGGAAGGAGGAGGAGGAGGAGGAAGAGGAGGAGGAGGAGGAGGAGGAGGAGGAAGAGGAAGAGGAATGAGGAAGGAGGAGGAGGAGGGAGGGAGGAGGGAAGAGGAGAAAGGAGGGAGGGAAAAGGAAGGAGGAGAACAGAGAAGGAGGAGGAATGAGGAGAAACGAGGAGCAGAAAGGAGTGCATGGGGCCCAGCCTCGGAGTTGACGACAGGGGTGGATAATTCACCCAGGGGTGGCCCTCATTCGCTCGGGAGTCGCGTCGAACATGTGGGCGGTTGGATCCCCTGCATATTTGTTATCCGCGCTTGCTGCAGCCCCCGAGCCCGATTGGCCCAACGGCGGCGCTGCTACTGGGCTGCGCAAACATGCCTGCTAAAACAATCGGCACCCGCGGAGGTCTTTTGGATTTGCTTGAATTTTGAACATCGCGCCGTCTTTAGCCATTTTGACTCAAGACTGACATTCAGCCATTTGGGCTACAGTCGGACCGAGGCATGAGATCGAGGTCGGTTCGGGAAGGGTACCCTAATGTTCTTCGTGTTTGTTGGATGCTCTTGTGCATCCTGGGGAGGGTACCCTCGGATGTTCTGTGTGTTTTTGCCGGCGGAGGGTCTCGTGTTCTTGAGGGATGTTCTTCTGGCTTAGTTCCGACTGTACTGTGTGCTCGTCTTCGTCGCTGCACGTCGGAGAAGTGTTGCCGTCCAATGTCTTTGGGGAGCTCTTCGCAAGACATGCCCGCAGCCAAACGGCAGCGGCCCGATACTGGATTGCAGCAGACACCCGAGATACTGTACACGGGGCAGTTACTGTATGTCACCAGTGCAGCGGAGAGCGTGGATGCAGTCAATTTGCTGGTCGCCGCATTAGTTGAGAGCAGCCCGGAACCGAGCCAGACGCATGGAAGTAGTTCTTTTGCAGAGGCAATGCCGAGTCGCCAGGCAGCGCTTGGCTTCGATATCGAGTGGCGTTCCAGCTTCCAGCGCGGCGTGCCTCAGCCGGCGGTGGCCACTGTGCAGCTTTCTGTCGAAGATCTCGTCGTAGTCTTCCAGCTGAGCAAGATTGGTGGCATTCCCCAATGCTTGCAGGACCTTCTCGGCCGATCCGATGTGCTCAAAGTTGGTGTTGGGGTAGATAGTGATGCCCGGAAGCTCGAGCGCGACTACGATGGCCTTGCTTCGCGCGAGAAGCAGCTCCTTGCCATGGGCGGCATGCAACATGCAGAGAAGCTGTGCAAGGATGAAGGCCTACTCCATGTTCGAGGCCTTCTGGATCTAAATGACTTGGCGAGATTCGCGCTTGATGTTGCTCATGCCAAAGTGTCACTTTCTAAGATGTGTGAAGAACTGTTGGGTGGTTCTATTTCTAAAGATGAGCGGATCCGAATGGGAAATTGGGAAGCTCACCCGCTCAATGAGAAGCAACTTAGATATGCAGCAACTGATGCATGGGTCGGGCTGAGGTGTTTCCGAGAAATGCAAATCAGGTCACCAACTGCTCTTGAGGACATGCGTGCTCTTCGAGCGTCAGTGCCCAGTCCAGCCTTGTCGCAGGATGGTCCTCCCCAGCTTGTACCAGCCGCTGCTGAGCTGAAGCCTTTGGCGCCCGCCAAGCAGCAAGTCTACAGCTTGTTCAACGAAGGCCACTCCGTTCGCAGCATCGCTGAAATACGTGGGGTAAAGTTAGGCACGGTGATTGGTTACCTTGTCGATGCCATCGCCGCAGGCTGTGCGTACGACTGGTCGAGATTCGGTGTGGTCCCTGCAGACGAGGCCGCCATTGTATCTGCGCTCGGATCGGCCTCTGAAGGCATCAAGGCTGTCAAGGAGTCTCTGCCTGACCATATCGACTATTCGACAATCAAGTTGGTACACGCCCACCTCGCAAGAAAGGGAGCCTGATTTGCCTCACAGGAAGGGGTGGCGCGCTCTGGTTCTTGGGAAGCGTGTGGTTCTCGGTTCTATTGCACGGTGGTGGTTCACTAGTACTGCAACAGCGGTCTGAACACCGCGCCCGCGGTGCCGTGGGAACCCGATGGGGCGGCGCATCGCGGCCCGTCGCGCGGGGCCCAGCGGTGGCGCCGATTCCCCGCTGGTGCAGCAGCGCATCGCTGGAGCAGGTCGGCGCCTGCGGCGGGCTCTTCCCTCAGCTCCGACGTCGCGACGACGTGCGGCACGGCGAAAACTCACGGCGCGAGTGCCCGACCTCATCTTCCTGCGGCGCATCTCGGGCCAGATCGGTGCGCGAGGTTTCTGGGGCCACGCACGGGGCGAACACGCTAGGTGCGACCACACATACGACGTCTCGATCTCAGGGTTCCTTTGGCTTGCAGGTCAAGCTTGGGATGCCCAGTGGGGGCTAGGGCCCGTCGCCGTGGGGCCCAGCGGGGGCGCCGTCTCCTGGGCTGCGCGGAGGCACACTGCGTTAAGAAGACCAGCTCTGCGGCGGTCTGGGTTTGTCATCTGTTTCTTTGTGAAAGCGTCGCCGCCCTCGGCAGGCGGCAGTGAGTTCCCAGATCCAGAGCAGCCCCTCACTCCTATCCGCGTCTGCGGGGGTTGTGGTCCTCAGCATGCGCGGGCCTGTAAAGTCAGCAGCACGTCTCGCAGCGCGCGGGCGCCCGCGAGTTCAAAAGAGCAGGCAGCGCCTGGTGAGATGCAGTGTAAAGTTTGACGCGCAGGCAATTGGTATACCGTCGTTTTCTTCCAGTTGTCTTGCCCTGCTTTCCCTCACTTGGTGTGAACGCGGTCTGCGCTACCTCTTTCCAGTGGCGGCGCGTTTGGGGCACTGTTCTAAGTAGTGCCAAAGGGGTCTACGATATGTGCAGTGCAGCGCGCGGCATGTCAGATGAAGCAGCGCGGGGTAGTAGTAGTAGTAGTAGTAGTGGTAGTAGTACTAGTAGTAGTGGTAGTGGTAGTAGTAGTAGTAGTAGTAGTCGTCGTCGTCGTCGTAGTAGTAGTAGTAGTAGTAGTAGTAGTAGTAGTAGTAGGAGTAGTAGGAGTAGTAGGAGTAGTAGGAGTAGTAGGAGTAGTGGGAGTAGTAGGAGTAGTAGGAGTAGTAGGCGTAGTAGGAGTAGTAGTAGTAGTAGTAGTAGTAGTAGTAGTAGTAGTAGTAGTAGTAGTAGTAGTAGTAGTCGTAGTCGTAGTAGTAGTAGTCGTCGTAGTAGTAGTCGTAGTAGTAGTGTAGTAGTAGTAGTAGTAGTAGGAATAGTAGTAGTAGTAGTAGTAGTAGTAGTAGTAGTAGTAGTGGTAGTAGTAGTAGTAGTAGGAGTAGTAGTAGTAGTAGCAGTAGTAGTAGTAGTAGTAGTAGTAGTAGTAGTAGTAGTAGTAGTAGTAGTCGTTGTCGCAGCAGACATCGTAGGAGTATGTGCAGCCGTAGCAGTTGCAGTGGTACCAGTCACATCAACATACCTTTATGTAGCACTTTGGGTGAAGTACACATGAACGCAGTATTAGTGATGGTGATCGTGTCAGTGATCTTGTTTGTGTTACTGTGTGTGCCACGTTTGTCTTCGCAGTCTTAATTCTGACACGTTTTTTTTGTTTTCCTAGTCGTCGGAGCAGTATTTGCAGTTTTCTCAGAGATTCGTATCCGTATTCGCATTCGTGGTGATGATGACGACGATGACGACGATGATGATGATGCTGATGATGATGATGATGCTCATGATGCTGATGGTGATCATGATGGTGATGATGATGATGGCGATGCTGATGCTGCTGATGCTGATGAGGATGGTGATGAGGATGAGGATGAGGATGACGAGGTTGATGCTGCTGCTGATGATGATGATGATGCTGATGCTGCTGATGATGTTGATGATGATGATGATGATGTTGATTGTGATGATGATGATGATAATGATGATGATGATGCTGCTGCTGATGATGATGCTGAGTATGGTGATGACGTTGATAATGCTGATGCTGCTGACGATGATGTTGATGCTGCTGATGATGCTTATGATGATGCTGCTGCTTATGATTATGATTATGGTGTTGATGATGATGATGCTGATGATGATGATGATGATGATGATGATGATGATGATGATGATGATAATGATGGTGATGGTGATGGTGATGACGATGATGATGATGATGATGATGATGATGATGATGATGATGATGATGATGCTGATGCTGATGCTGATGATGATGATGATGATGATGATGATGCTGATGCTGATGCTGATGCTGATGCTGATGCTGATGCTGCTGCTGATGATGATGAGGAGGAGGAGAAGGAGGAGGACGATAAGGAGGATGAGGTGGAAGAGGAGAGTGGCCTTCCTCCTCCTCGTCCTCCTCGTCGGCGCTGCCATGTCTTTACGTCGGCTGGTCTCTCTTCTGGCCAAGGCTAGGGGCGACGAAAGTGCCCTGGCCATGGCCGAGATGGACCTGGACGAGTTCGGGAGGTTCACCATCAGGGGAGCCTTCCGGCAGGGTTCAACTGGCCCCATGCCAGGGAGAGGAAGAGCGGGATGAGGAGGAAATGTAGGAGGGTGATGATGATGCTGATGATGATGATGAGGAGGAGGAGGAGGAGGAGGAGGAGGAGGAGGAGGAGGAGCAGGATGAGGATGAGAAGGAGCAGCAGGAGGAGGAGGAGCAGTAGGAGGAGGAGGGGGAGGAGGAGGAGGAGGAGGAGGAGGAAGAGGAGGAGCAGGAGGAGAAGGAGGAGGGAGGAGGAGGTGGAGGACGAGGAGGAGAGGAGAGAAGCTGCTGCTGCTGATGACGATGATGATAATGCTGATGAGGATGATGGTAATGGTGATGATCATGCTGATGATGTTGCTAATGATCTCGTTGATGATACTGATGATTATGCTGATGGTGACGCTGATGCTGACGATGATGATTCTGATGATGATGGTGATGATGATGGTGATCATGATGATAGTGATGATGAGGATGATGAGGATGATGCTGATACTGGCAATGGCATGGATGACATGGATGATGATGATGATGATGATGATGATGATGCTGATGATTATGATCACGATGACGATGATGATGACGACGATGATGATGATGCTGCTGATGATGCTGATGATGATGCTGATGATGCCGATGATGCTGATGATGATGCCGCTGATGATGATGCTGATGATGATGGTAATGCTGCTGCTGCTGATGATGATGATGCTGATGATGCTGATGCTGACGATGGTGATGGTGATGGTGATGGTGATGATGGTGATGATGCTGTTGCTGATGATGATGCTTCTGATGATGATGATGATGTTGCTGATGTTGCTGGTAGTGATGCTGATGCTGATGATGCTGATGATGATGAAGATGATGATGATGATGATGATGCTGATGATGATGATGATGATGCTGATGATGATAATGACGATTCTGATTATGATGGTGATGACGATGATGATGATGATGATGATGATGATGATGATGATGATGATGATGATGATGATGAGGATGAGGATGATGATGATGATGATGATGATGATGATGATGCTGATGATGACTGTGATGATGATGATGATGATGATGATGATGATGATGATGATGATGATGGTGATGATGATGATGATGATGATGATGATGATGATGATGATGATGATGATGATGATGATTATGATTATGATGATGATTATGATGATGTTGTTGACGATGACTGTGATGATGATGCTGCTGATGGTGATGATGGTGATGCTGATGATGAGGATTATGTATTGTTGATTGAATGATTGATTGGTTGATTGAGTTGATTGATCGATCGAGGGATGATGATGATGCAGATCAGGTGCTGATGCTGATGCACATGCTGGTGCTGCTGCTGCTGCTGGGGAGGAGGAGGAGGACGAGGAGGCTGATGATGATGATGATGATGATGATGAGGAGGAGGAGGAGGAGGAGGAGGAGGAGGAGGAGGAGGAGGAGGAGAAGAAGGAGGAGAGGAGGAATATGAGGGGTAGGGGTATGAGGAGGACGATGTGGAGGAGGAGGGGAGGAGGAGGAAGGGGAGAGGAAGGAGGATGAGGACAAGCTGGGTGCGCTCGCGCATCCTACCCATTCGTTCAAATTTCTCAGATTTGTCTTTATTCGTGGACGCTTGCCGTAGCGGTCCTAGAACTCCAACCAGGACCCCATGGGTCATGTGCAATCGGACAAAGGGGGAGCCGAGGACGAGGTGGCGGAAGAGCAGGAGGATGAGCAGGAGGAGGGGGAGGGGGGTTAGGAAGGAGGAGGACGACGAGGAGCGACAGCCAGCAGGCGTTGGAGCGGGCGGAGGGGGAGGAGCAGGAGGACCAGGGGCAGGCGGGGGAGGGGAAAGGCGTGGGGCGATGGCCACGAGGAAGCATTTGGACCCAGAAAGGTGGCACGCGCTGCGGCGGGTGCGCCAATGCTGAACGATGGGAGCAAATCGCCGATCTGAAACGAGGCCAGTGCTGAAGCGGGAACATCATCTTGAGACACCGAAGACGCTCCGACTGAACGAAACATTAGGACATTTATATATACTATTATATTTGCACATCAGTTTGTTTGTAAGATACAACACGCGGAGAGAATGGGCTATCTCCCAGACGGGGTCAGGGGAGAGAGGAGAGTAACATTCAGATGGTGTAATTGCAGAGGAGGAGCAGGAGGAGGAGGAGGAGGAGGAGGAGGAATGAGGAGGAGGAGGAGGAGGAGGAGGAGAAGGAAGAGGACGGGCCCTTCTGGAGTGCTGTCTTCGGGAGGAGGAGGACGAGGTGTAGTGAGAGGAGGCGGAGGACAGGATGAAGATACAGAGGGGACGCTGAATGATGAGGATGGCTGGAAGCACTCGAGGTGCGGCTGCCTCTTGTGGTGGGTCTGCCACCCGGACGGTGTCTTGGGCTCGTAGTGGAAGGTTTGTAAGCGACAGCCAGGCATGCGGAGAGCTCGTGCCCAATACGTATGGTATGAGGAACGTGCGGAAGATCGAGCAGCGTTTCCCGGGCAGGTCGAATACAAAATCAACTCAGAGAGTGGGAGCGTCGAGGAATGCACCGCGGGACACACCAGGCTTCGATCTGGCTTGGAGCTGATAGTGGGAGGAGGGTGGGGGTGATGCCACGTGGAGGAGTAGGATGATGGGAGGGCGGATAATACTAAGGAGGAGGAGGAGGAGGAGGAGGAGGAGGAGGAGGAGGAGAAGGAGGAAAAGACAACGAAGGGAATCTGAGGAGGAGGGGAGGGACGAGGAGGGATGGGGGCGAAGGAATGGGGGATGATGATGATGCTGTTGAGGATGATGCTGATGCTGCTGCTGATGATGCCGATGAGGATGATAATGAGGAGGATTATGAGGATTATGATGATGGTGACGAAGATGCTGCTGCTGAAGATGATGATGACGATGACGATGACACTGACGATGATAATGATGATGATGACAATGCTGATAATACTTATGATGATAATGCTACTGGTGATGCTGACGATGATTATGATGATGATGATGGTGTTGATGAGGATTTTCGTGCTGATGATGCTGATGATGACGACGCTGATACTGTTGATGATCCTGATGCTGATGCTGATGATGATGACAATGATGATGAGGGTGAGGATGAGGATGAGGATGCTGATACTGCCGATGATGCTGATGATGATGCTGGTTGTGGTGCTAGTGATACTGATGCTGCTGCAGCTCATGATGCTGATGATGCTTATGATGATGCTGCTGCTGATCAAGATGATGATGATGATGATGCTGATGATGACGATGCTGATGATGATGCTGATGATGCTGCTGATGATGCTGACGATGCTGCTGCTGATGATGCTGCTGATGATGCTGCTGATGATGATGATGCTGGTGCTGCTGCTGATGTTGATGATGACGATGGTGGTGAT